CCCCCCCATCTCCCCCTCCTGTGTGTGGTTTGCATATATCATTACCTCAGACATATCAAAGACCCAACCTGGGCTGACAAAGAAAGACAGATTGAAGTTGAATAATTCATGCATGGAAATTAAATTTTTTCTACCACGGCGTTATCTTTAATAAGATTTCCCCACTGAATGGACTGACAAGTAGAGGAATTGACTTTCAAACTAAAAAAAAATCAGCTTTGACCTCCATAATGGAAATTGGCCTTGCACTTAATAATACATTTTAGTCATAAAAACAGCACAAAGTGCTTCACAAAACCAAGTGCATATATAAAGTAGAAGCATATAATTACATATAGTTAAAAAAAACCCCAAGGGAATCAGATTTCTCACCATAGGTTTAACTGTGGGATCAATCCTTGCTTTCTCTTATGGCCTTTCTTTTATGTTTGTTCCAGGTGAGCACCTGCGGCTCTGTCCTCAGGACTACACTTGCTGCTCCAGTCAGATGGAGGAGACTCTGGCCCAGCAGAGTGAAAGGGACTTCCTCAAAGCAGTTTCAGACAACAGCCAGTTTCTCTTGACCACCTTTACCCAGAGACACCGCAGGTTTGACGGTGAGAGGCTGACACCTTAGTAGTTCTTGTGTTTGTAATGGGAACATTATTTGATTTGAAGCTGATTAAAAGCTAGTTATTACTTTTGATACCATAGTTTGTGAAAAAATGACCCTCCCCAAAATTAAACCAGTGAGTTTTAATTATAAAATGACCTTCCTAATTTAATTCAGATGATACTTCTGCGCTATTAAAATTACAGCTAAATGCTTGAAGCACAGCAAAGCAAATATATTAAAATGCTTGTTACTTATGTAATTTCAGCAACTGTGAGGCATTTTCATACAAGTGGCGACTCACAAGAGACTGATTATAAAACTAGTTACAAATCAAGCAACCAGGGCCAAGCTATCCTGCATTTTAGTCTGTAACTTTTTTTTTTTGCTCTAAATAACATTTTCCATAATGCAGCTAAACACCATATTTAACTGGAGAAAATCCCAGTTGAGGCCTCCCATTTAAAAATATATAACCTGCTTGTCTAAGCTGAATTAACTATGATTATGCTGCTATGATTTTGCCAGGGTTATACAGACATAGAAGTCTTTATGAAAAAAGGTTTCACTGGAATTGTAAGACTAGTTTATAATGACTTATAATCTATAAACTTGTATAAAGTTTTTGGAAAACCCAAATATTTTTATAGTGCTCTATATCTGGGAGATTTTATCAGTCATTGTTTCAAATAATGCGTCTACAGCTGCAGGTTTGTAGCAGCCACAGTACAGAGCTGAATTTACACTTTCTCCTCCTACCTGCAGTAGACTGCTATCACCCTTCCTCACACTTTTATATAATATATAATGATGAGTCATGTAAAGACGCTTAAGGAGTGGGAGACTGCATATGAGTCTTAAAGATGGATTTTAAATAGAGTACATTTTGTTAAACCCATTTACCAGTGTGCAGGATCTGAGCTGTTAATCTTTCAGGGAAGGGAGGAGGGTGAGGGAGCGCCTACATAGAAACCTGGCCGAGATATTAGAGAAAAAGAGGGTGGGTGACCAGTTTGTAGCTAATCGCTGCTTTTTCTGTCTCTGCACAGAGTTCTTCAAAGAACTTATAGACCTTTCAGAGAAGTCTATGAACCAGATGTTTACCAAGACCTATGGCCTACTCTTCACCCAGAACGCACACGTCTTCCAAGAGCTTTTCCTGGAGCTTCGCAGATATTATTCTGGTTGGTTTTAACACTCCTTTGTCCACCTTGACAGTCATAGAGATAATTAATGATTTTGGCAAAGATATGTCAGCTAGGTTGGATCAGAGACATTGTAAAATAATTCAATTCAGTTCAGTTCAATTCAGTTTTATTTATATAGCATTAAATCACAACAACAGTAGCTTTAAATTACTTTATATTGTAAGGCAAAGATCCTACAATAAAGAAAAAAGAGAAAGCCCCAGCAGTCATATGACCCCCTATGAGAAAATGCTTTGGTGACAGTGGGAAGGAAAAACTCCCTTTTAACAGGAAGATACCTTCAGCAGAACCAGGCTCAGGGAGGGGTGGGGCCATCTGCTGCGACCGGTTGGGGTAAGGGGAGGAAGACAGGACAGAGACATGCTGTGGAAGAGACCGAAACATTATGAATCACTAAAAATTAAACGCAGAGAGGTGTATAAACACATGCTAACAAAAAAAAAAAGCGAGTGAAAAAGGCAACTGAAGAAGAAACACTTAATGCATCGTGTAAATCCCCCAGGAACATATACTTATTGGAACATAACTAAAGGAGAATTTAGGGTCACCTGATCCAACCCTAACTATATGCTCTATCAAAAATGAAAGTTTTAAGCCTAATCTTAAAAGTTTACTCTCATGACTCCAAACTGAAAGCTGGTTCCAAGGAAGAGAGGCATGAATATGCCCATTGAAGGGCACATCCTGGTCAAGAACTACTCAAAGATCCCTCACAGTCTTACTAGAGGTCAAGTTAATGCCATCCAGATTATCTGGTTAGATACCGTATTTGTAATGCTTTTAGGGCCGAGTACAATGGCCTCAGTTTTTATTGAATTTAAAAGTAGAAAATTAGAGGTAATCCAGGTCTTTATTTCTTTAAGACATTCCTACAGTTTAACTAATTAGTGTGTATTATCTGGTTTCATGAATAGATAAAGTTGGGTGTCATCTGCATAGCAGTGTAAATGTATGCTATGCCTTCTGATGATACTTCCTAAGGGAAGCATGTATAATGCAAACAGAATTAGTCCTGGCATAGAACTCTGTGGAACTTCATAATTAACCTCAGTGAATGAAGAGGACTCTCCATTTACATGAATAAATTTAAATGGTCAAATCATGGCTTTTTAAGTAACAGTGTAAGAACTGCCAGATTAAAGGCCTGTGGTAAATACCTGATTAATAGAAATAGGTTGATCACATTTAAGATTAATGGTGGGAAAGAAAGAAAAAGAGTCTAAATAAATATCAATGGTACTGAAAGTAGCTGCACATAATGCTACTTCTGTGTGATGGTTATGACAAATTTTTTCTTTAATGGTTAAAATTTTATTTGTGATGCTTGCAACAACAGAGCTCTGTAGTACTCTTTCAGTGCTGAAAGAGAAACCTAGAGTTGTTCTTATTTTCTCTAATCACTAATTAATCCCTAATAAATCAGTGATAAAATGTTCTAGCTTGAAAGAGGGTTTTTCATAAAGCAGCAAACTAAGTTTCCAGGATAAATGATTATCTAAATTAGTGAGACATCATTTCCTCTTCAGCTTATGAGTTGTCTGCTTTAAGGTGCACATTTGAGAGTTATAGCAGGTGTCTGTCTTTTTCACAGGAGCTACATTATCCAGAGTCGTATGCAGTGAAGAAGTAAAATAATTAACAAGATAATCGACCTCTGTGGGAGTAGTGTTCTGGTAGCTGCTCTGCTCTGTGTTGGCACAAGGCATAGGAGAAGATGACAGTGGATGAATTATATCCTTTAACCTAGTTACAGTACTTTCATAAATACATTTATTGTGATAAAATCTATATACTACTACTGTGTAATCCATTGTAAATTTAAATGCTATTAGGAAATAATCAGACAAAAGAGGGTTTGAAGGAAATGCTGATAAATGTTCAGTATAACGCTATATATCAGAAAAAGCTCTAGAGTGGGATTAAGGTGGTGGGTGGGATCTTTTACATTGTGAAAGAAGCCAACTGAGTCTAATAATACATTTAATATGGATGTTAAAATCACCCACAATATTTATTTTATCTGAGCTGAGCACTAAATCAGATAAAAAGTCTGAGAATTCAGACAGAAATTATAAATGATAACAAATATGACTGGTTTATGAGTTTTCCAGCACGGGTGGGCAAGGTGAAGCATCAGGCTTTGAAATGAATTAAAACTCTGTCTGAGTCTTTGGTTGATTAACAAGCTGGAGTGGAAGATTGCTGCCATTGATTACAAGTATCGTTATTACTAAAGGAGTCTGTGGAGTAACACTTTCCCTGGGAGCAGGAAAGTGCAGGAGGGACAGGTGAAAATGCCATGCTACTAGCTAGCTGGCTACAAGTTGAGCTAGCAAATCCCTAAAGAGACAGTGAATACTGTGAATGTAATTAGTGAGTGAATCAACAGAGAGTATGCTTTGGATAAAGCATGTGAAGATTACTCTATGAAAAAAGTTGTTACGTATACGTTTTTAATTAAATTGACAGAAAAACAACAGGAACAGGAAGTGATACATAATCAAAGAGAGAACAAACTGAGAGAAGGAGAATATCACAAATCAACTTTGTACATGGTTTTTAGCAAGTTCTACACATGCAGTTTTAAATTAAATTCAGATAATCCTTGAAAATAACTTCCCTAATAAGTGCACAGTAAGTGACCAAGTGCACAGGGTTGTCAGGCTTGCTGCTGAGTGGACTTTGGTTGGCTCTGCCATATAAAAGAAGGAGATTAGGGATATAATGATGGTTTACTGATCCAAAACACAAATGGCAATCACTAGCTTCCAATCCAAACAACATAGAGGGAAAAATCCACGTTCTATTCCACAGTGTTAAAACAGTAATTTAAGTAACCTGCCTGGCATATGTAGTCTACAGTGGGCTCCAGTACCACCACGAGGAAAGAATGACTGCAGGGAAATGTTTAAAAAGACTGATCTCTGTTTAAAGAGGTACAATAATTCCTTCCGACACTGACATTTATGTATAGTTCAGACAGTCCACGTCCATGTTGTGGTAAATCAGCAGTTATAGACAGCAATAAAAAAAGCATCATTGTCTTTTGAGGGGAACCGACATGCCAGAAAAAACTGGAGGAAAAAAGGAGAGCGAGAATTGGATTCCCACAGATGCCAGACCATTTCTATTTTTGTTCCGGATCGTTCTGTTTTTGGCTTCACAGCCGCTCACTGACTCCTCCATCTGCAGGCTGCTAAGTCAGCCTGTCCTTCTCTGCCAAACAACATGTATGGCTAATTTAAGGCAGTATAGTAGACTACAGATTGGAGATTCACATGCTCATTCTGTAGAAACACTCAAGCAGACAAAACATTATGGATACTATCATGTTCTAAAGCAGAAAACATTTAGTGTTCAGATTTATGTTATCATTAAAAAAATGTGTTCATTTATCAACTGGATTAAGTTTTATTAAATTTTATAAATTTTATGTAGTTTTATAAATTTTTTTGATTACAATATTTTTAACCAAAGTGAGACATGCGACTTCGCTAGAGTGTTATTTAAAGAAGCAAGGACAGAGTTTGCTCTAAAATCGCCATCTTTCCCCCAAAACTGTTGTTTCTCAAATGCATCAAAAATTATTAAGTGAGATATTTAAAGCAATGTCAATCAGACTTCTCCATAGCTTGTACTGTGTGTTTAGCCAAGGAGAAAAACACTTTAGTAAAACAATCAGGTATTTATAAAAGTATTTTTCTGTACTTTCCTTCAAAAACCTTGGAATTTTAATGCACACACTTCAGCAGTTAGTCATTTGTATGCTGAATGCAAAATAAACAGCGCATATAAATATTGAGAATGTTTTTTTGTCCTTCTAGCTGTTCAAATATGGCCGCACTTACCAAACTAATTTATCTGATGGTTTTTATAGCTTAACATAGCTTTTATTGGAAGAAGATGAGAGAAATCTGTCTTTAAATACTCTCCAACAGCATTGTCGTGGTGAGATCCATTCTAACTGCAGTGACTCTTTTTCGAAGCATTTATCAGATAAGAAAAAAAACCATATTCTTATATAGTATAACTGTTACTCTATTGTTCACAGGGGGAAGTGTGAGTCTGGCAGAAGTTCTGTCAGATTTCTGGTCCAGACTTGTGGAGCGGGTCTTCTCTCTGGTAAACCCCCAGTATCAGTTCAGTGAGGACTACCTAGAGTGTGTCAGCAAGCACGCCGAACAGCTGCAACCATTTGGGGATGTCCCTCGCAAACTTCGTGTACAAGTGTGTATACAGTAAAATCTACAGAGCTCATATATACTGTACTTATATAGCAGGATGGCAAAGGGGGACCCTAATCTGTTATCTTTGGTTTGACATTCAGGTGTCGAGGGCTTTCATAGCAGCCAGAGCGTTATCTCAAGGGCTTGCCACTGGTCGGGACATTGTCAACAAAGCAACAAAGGTGAGTGGCTCTTATTCAGCATCTCTTCATGCTTATCTTGAGTGGAATATTTAATACCAAGATGGCATTGATGATATTCTGCTATCTAAAGCATACTGGCAAGCAATTATATGGTAAATGGATGTATTTATATAGCGCTTTTACTAGTCCCTAAGGACCCCAAGGCCCTTTACATATCCAGTCATCCACCCATACATTCACACACTGGTGATGACAGCTACATTGTAGCCACAGCCACCCTGGGGCGCACCGACAGAGGCGAGGCTGCCGGACACTGGCACCACCGGGCCCTCTGACCACCACCAGTAGGCAACAGGTGAAGTGTCTTGCCCAAGGACACAACGACCGAGACTGTCCAAGCCGGGGCTCGAACCGGCAACCTTCCGATTACAAGGCGAACTCCCAACTCTTGAGCCACGATCGCCCCTGCGATCCTTTCATTATGTTCTTGTTTAAACGGCTAGTCACTCAAAAACACAATAGTTAGTCTAGACTTTATAGAGTAATCCTGTTTATTAGATTATCAGACATTTAATCTAAACTTTGAAGCAAAAACAAAATCATCTTGTTACCAGCAGGAAGTGAATCATTATCCAGACAAGTCCACACTAAACTGCTGGCCCTGTAGTGTGAACTGGTAACTGAGTAAATTAGTTTTTCTAAACATAACTTTGAAGTTCTTCAGCTGTGGTTGACTTTTGGAGCTGCAAATATGTAAAACCGCTTTGTTAAGTAATGGTCATTGTGTGTTTATGTATTCAATCCATTTTATTCTGTCCTTTGCTTTCAGTTAACTGCAGATTCAGAGTGTGTGCGTGGCCTGATGCGTCAGTGGTACTGCCCACTGTGTCGAGGTATGCCCTCCGTGCGCCCCTGCCGCTCATTGTGCCTTAACGTGATGAAGGGCTGCTTAGCCAATCAGGCTGACTTGGACACCGAATGGAACAATTTCATTGGTGGGTGATGGAGTATCTTTATATGTGATTTCATAGGTAGTGGATGGCACATTTTAAAAAGCTAAAGCTTTTGAAGAACCTGATTTTCAGCATCATTTTTAGATCTTTAAGCATAGGAGAGTCAGCGTCTAAGCACTTTGAATTATTCTCATCATAATTAAACCAGACATCCCCAAAAGTAGCATCCTTTCTTGTGCCCCTGTCACTCATTTACTTTCACGTCCTTTTCCCTAATGAGTTCCTCCTCCATTAATCATTCATGCCTCTCTGCTCCTTCACAATTGATCTGTCTTCCTGTGTTTCCTTTCTCCTTTCATCAAACCCATACATTCCCTCTATTTTTTCTTTTCATCTGGAGTGCTTCCTCTTACCTTTCATCGCTCCATCCATGCCTGCTGAACTCAAAACCATTTTACCCTCATGCAGCCTTTTGTCTGACCACCATTCTCCTCTCTTTTTCACGCTTTATATTGTGACAGCTTGCTTCTTTATTTTACTGAACACCCCTTAAAGAGATGTAAATCACACTCTTTTAGCTGGTTGGCCAGGGGGGAGATTCCAGACACACCACTGTCTTGACAGTCATCAGGCTCTACAGAAGCCCACCTACACACAGTTTTTTTCTTCTTCTGTATATTACCTGAAAGTGAGAACTAAAGTCAAAGCAAACTTTATCACCCTACCATCTCTATGTTTTTCAGATGCTCTGTACCAGGTTTCAGAGAAGCTGGAGGGGCCTTTCAACATGGAGCTTGCAGCCGACTCTATCTCTGTAAAAGTGTCAGAGGCCATTATGCACATGCAGGAAAACAGTGTCAGCATCTCCAGCAAAGTAAGAAAGCACAGCAGACGATCAGTACATAAAAATGAAAACCAAATGAGCATTGTTATATTTTTTTATTGCTTTCCGAGAGTTTGGCAATTGTGAATCAATCGAGTGAAATGTTAACTGAACCTTTGAGAGGACATGCAAATGATCTTCTTCGATATTCAAGCAAAAGCTGTAATCTTAATTATTGTTTAATTTCATTTTTAATCTTTCTAATGAGACAGCATGCAGTAAAGATGAGAACATGATAGCCTCGGAGTATGATTAAAACATGGCAGACATCCCAGGAGTGAATCCTCCAGAGAGACACCCACGTCTTGTTAGAAACAGAGAAGCTCCTGGTTTGTGTTGGTAGTGCTTTAAGGAACAGACAGCTCTCTGCTTTACAATCCAGCTTTGTGCGACTGCACTCTAATAGAGCGTGACTGTTGAGGTTAGGGGGAGCTTTTTCAACATTGTTCAGTTACAACATTTTTGTCTGTAGACGTCATTGACTCTTTTCCCCAGAAATCAAAGGTCCCTGGTGTTTTTTTAAGCTTTAATTCAAAACTTACATCAAAGCTACCTTTTTTCTCTTAGAAGAAAGCACTGAGCCTTTTGCACTTATTCTTTAGGTGTTGTTAGAAGAAATTCTACGAAATCACATATTAGTTCGAGAATATACAGTTTTCTTGACACAACATAGAAGAATCTTCTTAATCTTAATCTTAAAACTGCTCTTGCTGTGTACCTCAGGTGTTCCAAGGCTGTGGAAACCCCAGGCCAGCTCCAGCAAGGTCCAAACGCTCGCCCAAAGAGTCCGGGGGCAACAGGAGGCCTTTCCGCACCTACACTCCTGAAGAGAAACCCACCACTGCTGCAGGCACCAACCTGGATCGATTGGTAAGGAGCAAACAGCACGGTGACGTGGTACCAGTAGGAATTCTTAATCTTGGGTTGCACTTACCTGTCAATAAAGGTAAAAAAAAAGAAAAGAAATCAGCTAAGGCCTAAAATTATTGTATTTCTGCTGTATTTGCCATTTGGTGCTTGCTAAGTACCATCCATTGGCCATTTAGTGCTTTTTCACTAAGAGAGACAAAGTGCTTACATTGAAACCAGATAAAACCCTTTGAAGTGGTTCGAGATGCTGATGAATGACTGTTTTTGGTGGGTTCATGATAAGTGCCACTTTTCACATGTTACAGTGAGCAATTTGGAACATTGTTGATACAGAAATAGATACTACTTGTTTTAATGGTGCACAATTTACCCTTTTGTGTTGAGCATTCTTTAAATATATCAGGAAAAAACTGTAAGAATGTCGCACATGTTTGCTCTGCACATGAATCTGATTCAGATCAAGAGGGGGAAAAAAAGGGAAAAAAACCCCCAAAACACTAAAATAAGTCAGAGCGACTAATAACAGAGAGTCCTGTGGTTAGAACCCAGACAGAATTTCTGTGAATAGTGTGGTCTTGCAAGATAGAAATGCCTAAATAAAAAGAGCTTCAGATCAGAGCACAGACGAAGGGGGTATTAGATATTTATATCTGTTTATAAGATTGAAAAGAAATGTCATTTAAGAGCTGACCCAGAAGCAAAGCTGTATTAGGTTTTTACCTTTACCCAGCATCAGCCCTGCAGCTTTCATACAAAGATACTTTAAAACCATGTCTGAGTCATAGCCAGTTTCCTTCCACCTCCACACAGGTTACCGAGCTGAAAGAGCGACTGCGGCCCATGCGGGGCTTCTGGGTGTCCCTCCCACACACCATCTGCAACGATGAGAAGATGGCTGCCGACGTCACTAATGAGGACCGCTGCTGGAACGGGCAGACCCGGGGGAGGTGAGCGAGATCAGAGCAAAAGGCTGCTGAGGGGAGGGTCTGTACAGGCGGAGGAGGAGGAGTGAGTGAGTGATGGTGCAGAGGTGGAAGGATGCAACAGATGGAACTGAGTTTATTTAATTATGCCACCGCCACTCACCCACATGTTCTCTACCTGGGTCTGCTTGTTCTGTGTACATACCAATGAATCAAGCTCATTTGAGAAGAAACACTATTGAGTGTGTTACACAGAAAGAGGGGAACTGATTGTCCACCGTCATCAGTCAGTCAGCATTTTATATAAAAGCACATCCATCTTCAGTCACAAACCAGATGTGCTGGCTGTGCTATAATTATCTTGTATTATCACATATACAATAAGTGATAATAACTGTGAAATGTCCTTTGGGCATTCCAGATTGTAACTTTAAAAATATATATGGTGCAGCTAACTGTCTTATAAGCAAAAAGTAATACATGCATTATTAAAAATTCAATAAAGCTTGACATAAAACAAACCAATAGCTGCTGAAACATTGTGCTCTGTACCGAAAATGTCAGCCCAGTGGTCCAGGCAGCCACATGAAACCAGAGTGAGTGGGATTAATCCTCTGGGGACTGTTAGTGTCTGTACAAAATGTCACAGCAATCCATCAGATGATGACTGCTGAGATGTTTCTGTCTGGACTAAAGCAAAGGGACTGATTGGCCATAACCATCTCTAGAGCCTAGCCATTAAAGATTTGATTACAACGGGTATCACTGCACATAAACCTTTAGTGTTCTTAAGGAAATTAAATAGCAGAGAATAAGCTACTATGTATGTGAATGCCTCTTTGTGCGTATGCTCAGGTACCTGCCAGATGTGACAGGTGACGGTTTGGTGAGCCAGATCAATAACCCTGAGGTGGAAGTGGATATTGCACGTCCAGATGTGAGGACCAGGCAGCTGATCATGGAGCTGAGGGTGGTGACCAATAAACTGAGGCATGCTATGAGTGGACAGGACATGGACTTCATGGACAGTGAGTGTTCCTAAAATTTTGACTTGATATTCTTATATCTGCTCCATATTTCAGATGAAAATGTGCTTTTCCTGTTTCAGGTGAGGAAGGCAGTGGCTCAGGAGGTGGAGATCATGGCGAAAGGTACAATCATGACTGGCCAGGTTATGGGCCTTACTCTCCACCCTACACCAAACCCTCAAATAACCCCGCCTCCAACCCTGCAAAGCCGCCTCGAGGCCGAGACAGAAACGGGTCCAAGTGGAACAGAAACAATGGGCAGGGACGGGTTCGATCTGCAGCTGGTCTGCTCTTTTTCTCCCCGTTTTCTTTGTTGCCTCTGCCTTTTGTGGTCACTGCTGCCACCATGTGGAGATAGCTGGTTATTAAAGTGTGGAAGTGAGCGGAAAATTTCTGTCATGCTGGAGTCTAAAGCACATTATTAAGAAAATAATTGCCATTCCATTCGGTTACACCAGCATTAAACAACAGTAAAAACAGACTAATTCAGCAATAATCAAAAACCTGTTTACAGCACTGAATATTTTTCCTACTCCCCAAGCAACTAATGAGAAATAAAACACACTGATAATTAAAAACACAACTTAAAAATATCATCTTTTATTTTTTTAGTGTCATGTTTGACTGATTGGCTTTAGATGCTGAACGGTGTGCAGTGCTGGGAGTCTTAAGGGGAACAAAGGAATAAACTTTTCAACATCAAATGAATTGGCAGGATGTGTGGGTGATGGCGGTGACCACTTGGTGGTCTGTGAGGTAGAGATTAGCCGTGCCCATAATTACTATGTAGTTTCAGTGAGCAGCTGATTTAACGTACATTTGTTTGCTGCTTCTCTCTTTAAATTAAGTTTCAGTACATTGGAGTTCAGTTTAGCTGTGGTTCGTTTAATTAATTTTTCCATCTTTTTAAAGCAGTAAGATAAAGTTTTTTAAATTAAAGCGCCATACTTTGGCTTGGAAACATTTGAAAAAGGCAAAAGTGTGACTCTTGAAACCAAACAATGGGCTGATTTTGAATGTAAAAGCTCAAACCAAGTTGGGTTGCTTATATCAGTGTAATATATTGCTGTTTTTAATTTATTTGTAATATCATATTTTGTTTTATTATTACTTCAAGACAATGGCTGTGTGTTTTCTTCTAATGTAAGTTTGTCTTTCAAGTTCTCTGGTGGTGAAAAAAGGGAAAAATCAAGTTGTATTAATACTTTTTTGTAAACCAGTCATTTTAAAATATTATCCTATACATCAGAACACTTATTATCAGCTGTAGTTTTCTGGCTTCTTTACTTCTAAACAGAGAGGGGTAAAGAGCATCATGTGTGAGTGTGTGCGTATGTGCGCGTTTGCGTGATCGTTTTATAATGTTTGTTATATGTGCCGGTCTTGTTGAGAGGATGCTGGGACCTTTTTTAATAGTATGCTTTTGTACTTATTTTTCCTAAAAGCAACAAAAGTTGTTGAAAACAGTCGGCGAGCACGCTACGTATTGTAACGTTGGACTGAATGGTTTCAGAGAGAAAAATGATGTCAGAACTTAGATGATGGTTCTTAATTTTCATGTGCTGTTTTAATGAAGATAAAATCAAAGAGTTTTCTAGACAAAGCTTGTGAGGAGTTGTCATCAGGAAAGAGGAGAAGAAAAGATTAGTTTAACATTCTGGGAAGTGTGCTTAGCTTGCAAAGTGTAAAATGATAAGTTTAAGATTTAGAAAACAACAAAAAGACGGATTCAGCAGCTGATTAGTTTAAAACAAAGTAACTAGCTTGGATGAGAAAATCTATATACAAGGAATGGTTGAATTTGCAAATTAACATATTTTAACTTTTTTAATTTGTGCAAAAATAATTGATCATTTTACACGGGTTACATACTGATTGTTTATTGGCATGAAGAAATTGACAGATCTGCTAATAAAAATGCAATCTTTGCCAAGAAATAGACCAACACACACTTACCAGCCACTTCATAAAGTATATCAGTTCAGTTGTTGATGGAAATATCTGCCTAGCTAGTCACGGCAGGCATGTAGACATGTTAAAGATGACCTGGTTAATTTCCACCTGCAGCAGACTGGGTAAGAATTAGTGTTTTAAGTGACTTTGAACATGGCATGGTTATTTATGTTAGATGGGCTGGTCTGAGTATTTCAGAAACTGCTGATTCACTGGGGATTTTCCCCACACAACCATCTCTAGGGTTTACAGAGAATGGTTTGGCAAAGAGAAAATATGCAGTGAGTGGCAGTTCCCTGGGACAAAATACGTTTTTGATGGCCTGAGGTCAGAGGAGAATGACCAGATGCATTCAATCTTGAATCAGATGGTCTATAGTAGCAGTAGACCACACTGAGTGCCACTCCTCTCAGCTAAAAATGGGGAACTGAAACTATGATTCATGTGGACTGACCAAAATTGGATAATAGAAAGATTGCCTGGTCTGATGATCAGATGAAGATGGTTTGGTCAGAATTTGGTGAAAACAAGAACATAGAGCACCTTTGGGATGTGGTGGAACAGGCGATTAGCATCATGTGTGTGCAGCTGACTAATCTGCAGCAACTGTGTGATGCTGTATTAAGAATTTATCCAAAACCTTCCTTAAACTATGTTGCAAAGAATTAAGGCAGTTCTCAAGGTTCCCTGAAGTTGTAACCTATGAAGTGGCCAGTGAGTGTATAACCTCGGTATCAATTTGTACACTTTACTTTTCAGCATCTTTAAAGTAACATTTTCTTAAACATTATTTGTGTTTTGTAAAGTGAACATTGACAATGTTTCTCACTTTCTAGCTTTTATGCTAAGCTGCTTGCTTTAGGTCCACCTTAAAAAAAGCAAATAAGCACAGTTTCCAAAATGCTCAACTATTTCCAGGAGATGATGAAAGTGACTGAATAGAACAGCTGGGGAGACAAGAGAATATAAGAGAATGTATAGATGCTGCAAAAGGACACTTAAATTGAAGAGAAATTGTAAAATCCCATTTGCTTGTAACAGAATTAAATCTACTGAGGTGGAAATATGCCTGTAAAATAGAAGTATGATCTAGAGAAGGATTTCCTTTCATAACATATCCATTTTACACCAATTGCCAACTGTTTCCAACTGCTTTGAAAATGCTCAGTGGATAACAGGAACTGTGTAATGCTAACATATTAGTATGGACCAAATTCTCTGAGGACTGTTTCCAGCACTTTGTTGAACAAAACGCAAACAAAATGCCAGCATGTGAAGGTGGATATGTTAATTTGAAATGAAAGCCTTCAGCAACAGTAGGAACCGCGGCTAAGACTTGACCACACACAGCATTATATTGCACAAAAAAAATGACAAAGTGTTTCACAGTATTTTAAAAGCAACAGTGTTTTAATCATGTGCTTTCAGTGCTCAGCAGTCAGACAAGTCTGTGATGGCTGCAGTATTTCCATTCAATTTTAGGAAAGTTGTTTTTGAGTCCGAACTCACATCCATTCCTGCAACTCACATTCCTTCATGGTGAAAGTATAGCACAACTTTTTTTTCTTCATGTTGTTGTGACAGTTTTTTGGTATCAAACAAGTGACATTTTTTTTTGCTTCATTAAAAAACTGAAGAAAAAGATGTTGATTCTTTAATTTTTTTAAGGTAATTATATTTAATAACAGCCAAAATACAAAAACTAAACACATGCTTTAGTTACAGAATATTTCCATGTTCAGGCTTAGATCATATGCACAAGTCACCAGCTAAACAAAAAGAACAAAGAAGACATAAGAAGACTGCAGAGAACAAGCAAGTGATCCAAAGTGGACTACGAAAAAACAAATCCAAAACAAGAAACAAAGTCACTGAGGTAAACATGAAGACAAGAACAGATACAGGACAGTAAACTGGCAGGCAAACAAGAAGTAGAACAGGACAGACTGACAACTGACAAATGGAAAGAGAACTACATCATTTAATAATACTAATGCAAATGTTTACTTCTGTCTCAGCTCCTATAAATACATGGTAGAGACCTTTCCTATTTCTCTGATTTGTGCCTCATTGTCTCCTCTATCCTCCTGCTGCGATCTGGAAATCAGTATCAGTTTACCATAGTAAAGGATATCTCACTTCCTAAACTGCATCTGGAGGGCACGGAAGAGAAGAAAGCTTTTTTTTCTTTGCATGTGACCTTCACCACTCTTCTTTGAAAGATTAGGTAGCATCTTTTCTTTCTGTGTGAGAGGGTAAAACTTACCTCAGTGAAACACAAGAAAACAAACTGGATTAAGTATGAACAAAGATTAGCAGCTAGTGAGATGGTTTACAGTTTATGCTGTGAAGTTTAATTTAGAGCCTGAAATTGCCATTTAATTTAAAAGAGGACAAAATGAAACACAGAAGCAAAACACTGAAGTGCAGGAGCTACAATTGAGAGCGCACAGGTGTGTCATTTATGGGAGCTGAATATCCAAACAGGCTTGTCCTCTTTATCCATTTTTTTCAGTTATTTAAGATGATCAGATTTTCTGCCTTTCACTGTTTTGTGTGTGATTAAAAAAAAGGAGTATGTTTATAAGGTTTGACTGTGATTGTTATGCATGTAGTGAACATCTGCAAATTACTGTGCGTATGACTACAGTAATATAAAACTCTTCCATGCTGATTATGACAATTTAACAGAATGAAAAATTAACACTGCCACAAAATATGTAAATTTGCATTTACTTGAAATGCATGAAAAATGACCACTCTTAATTAATTAGCTGGACATTCAAAACATTGTATCTTCCTTCTACTGGCTAGAAATAAAAAAATGTTTGGTAGTCTCTCCTTTTTTTGTTATGTAGCCAAGATGCTGAGCATTTGAGGTGAGACATAATCAACTTTCCACATCATGTTGGTAAGTGCACTTGCACACATACAACAGAAAGTGTTAAGTCGGGAAATAAACAACAAAGGAAAAAGAGGGAGGCAGAAATGAAAAAGGGAAAATGCTGGAAAAGTGTAAACATGCAAATAAATTGGGTGACAAAACAAACAAAAGCCAAAACAATAAAAAAATAAATCCTAACACATCATAAAATGATCAGATAATTCTGTGCTGATAGTAGAAAATATAAAACAACAGCTTGCCATGGAAGCCTCAGTGTTGTTCTTAAACCTTCAAGGTGTCTTTAAGGTTTGCCCTTTAGCCTTTAAGGGCGCTGTCTCTGTGTTTGGAGCTCCATTATCTGAGAACTTCTTCTTATGATCAATGCAGTGGATGCACCCATGCTTACAAAAAGAAATAAGGACAAGGGTCAGTATGACAGTTCACAGACAAGTTTGTAAAAAGTAAAGAATTCATGAAAAATATTAACTGTTTCAACTGTTCATTGTACATTCAAAAATCCTCATCTATGCCACATTTAAGTGCTTTCAGACTGCAGAAATTTGCTTTTTCTATTTAAAGTATTCACAATTTAGGAAGAATGCTAAGAGTAATGCTTACAACTGCTGGAAAAAACAAACTGCTTTTACTGCTTTGTTGGAAGATTACCGAGAGACTGATTTGACACTGCTGATGCTATGAACTGTATAGCTATCAGCTCAGTGAACTTTTAAAACAACATTTTACAGGTATTCTGTATTTCTTGTTACCTTCCACAGTAGGAAGCCTAAAAAGGCCAACAGCAGCAGCAAAGACATGACTGTCAGGAGGATTATCCACCACGCAACTTTGACCAGGAATTCAGTCTTTCTCTCAAGGAACACTGTCAGTTTTGCCTGTGGACATTTAGATAATAATAATAATAATAATAATAATAATAATAATAATAACAACAGAACAACAGTACAGTATGTCTTCAGATGCACAAATCCTAGAAGGCTGTGACTTTCTGTCCATCTTAGACTGTTACAAACATTATTTTAATGTAATTGTTATAGTACACTGAACTCAAAGGTAGCTCTATTAAAGAGCAACTGCTCA